AGGTCTAAAGTATGTGAAGGACTAAGAGTGATGGAGAGCAAGAAACACAATGTGACTGGACCACAGTGAGCAGGGAAGAGAAGATGAGGAGGGCAGACGACGTAAGGCTGTGAGTCAGAGTAAGGGAAAGAGCAATTGTAACTAGCTCTTCTGGGGAGAACAAATGATCCGTGAGAAAGCACTGAAGCAAAACCAGCTAGGTCAACAGTGAGTTGCCCAAGTGAGAGACGAGAGTGGTTTGGATGAGGGTGGTGGCAGTGGAAGAGGACAGAAATGAAAGCAGTCTGACTCTGTACCCATCACGTCGTCAGAAAAATTCTGAAAGGTTTACAGCCTTCCAGTTCTTGTGACTCCCGGTTAAAGTGTTCCAGTGAATTATACTCTACCTCAAATCTCCAGTCAGAAAATTTGTCTCTCCCACCAATATCCCCTTGAATTTGGCAAAGTATAGTATAAAAAAAATTACTTAATGAACTCAATATAGAACACACTGCAACACATGAATTACTCCTGCAGTGTCTCTTTTAAAAGTGGTTTCAAATCTCTGTGGCACCAGGTGGGGTTATATATCCACTGGTCAACAAACTGTAGCTGACGAAGTCTGAGCAGCTGATGTGAAGTTCTGTATATTGAGTGAGTGAGTGAGTGAGTGTGTGTGTGTGTGTGTGTGTGTGTGGTGAGAGAGAGAGAGAGAGAGAGAGAGAGAGAGAGAGAGAGGGAAAGAGAAAGGTTGCTGGGGCCAGGGGTGTGAGATTGGGGAGGGCTTTAGAAAGAATGACTGAGTTCTTTTATTATTTTTAAAAATAGCCTGCATTCATGGTTCTGTATTTTGTATACATGGAGAAAGTTTATTTGAAAATTATCTTAAAGCATTTGAAAAGAGTGTCTGGAGGCTTTCTGCACTCAGTCCCAGATCCAAGAGGGGAGGCAGAGTAGGGAACAGAAGAGCAGAGGAGACAAATCTGAGGCTGTTGAAGGACTACACGTAACAGAAATGCAGAAGTCTGCTCTGGCAGCCGTGCCCAGGGCCAGGGTCCTGGGAGGAGCAGTTGGTCACTCACGCCACAGAGTAATGCCTGCATGTCACTCATAGACGCTGTTGCTGTGTAATTATTTTGTGAACCACATAGATTTCATTATTGAGTCCAGGTCAGTGTTCATCGATTTCTTTGTGTTTTATAATTTCTCATGAGAGGAGGAAACTTTAATTCATTAGCAAAGAGAGGAAGGTGAACAACACTGGTCCTTAAGTTCCCAGTAACTGACACCTATAGAAGGAAGACCAGTGACCAGTACGCCTTGCTTCGGGGCCTCCCCCTGCTGTCCTTGTCACGGCACACAGAGAAAATGACAGGATTTGTATGGCTCACTGGAGGAAACTGGAAAGGAGTTAGGAGAGTCTTACTCATATCTTTTTGGGAAAAAATATTAAATTTTCTTGACATTATATAATTACGAAGACAGAGCGTTAAGAGAAAATATTACACGTTGAATTTTTATCATACTGGCAAACAAAATCTTTTGAAATTTCCCACGAGAAACTTAACTTTCATGTTTAAACTGCTTACATTTGAAGAACTCCTCCATGTCTTTCCCTGACAAATATAATTAACATGGGCATTTCTGAAGACAAAATAATTTTGAATCCAATTGAACTTTTTCATATGAGATATTTCAAACTAGGGGACAGAATGCATATGCATGGCTAGAACATCCAACAAGCTTAAATGTCCCTGAGAGCACAAGGGTCAAAAACAGATAGAAGCATCCCACGTATGCAAAGACAGAGACTACGGCTGCCACTCACAACGAGACCTTACGCCATCAGGCTGCATGCCACTCAGCTACCATATTTTGCAGTCCCACATCTAGTGAGCCCTCAACAGATGTCCACGTACATACAGAACACTCCTTAGCTATGGAGAAAGACTCTTTAGATGGTCAGATAGCTTAAGGTATCACGCGGCCTTCCTTCAGACCCAGTGGTTTGTGGTCATCACCCATGGGTCATTTCAGTGTTGCTCATAGCAGCAGGCTACTGAACCAGGATACCAGCTACCCCTAGCCCTGCCTGAACCTCCCAGAGCCCAGAGAATATGTGGCTATATATCCACAACTCATCGCTGACACCATGCACAGGGAAGTTCTACTTTCCAGAACAGTCACTGACCCAGGAACGCGCCTCTCTACACGCACACACACCACACTTCAGACCAGACAGGCCCAGTCAGGCTCCAGAAGACGTGTAAGCTGGAAGTTCTCTTTGATACACTCATCCTGATAGGCACAGGGAAATGGGGGAGAAATGGAAGCAAGGAGAAAGAATAAACAACCGGTTTCCCATGAGGATAGTTGAATTTTTATCATTAGCATATATTTCTGCCTAATATTTACAATATGGCATGTGCTGGCCTCTTTTTGGAAAAAAAAATACAGAAATGCTCCAAATTATTTCATTCCTACCCAGCAGAAATAAAAAATTAAATAAACTCAGACAGCATAAGTTCACCACCTACCTTAGGTGACAGTATTAAATTTACAGTGACAAAGAAGCAGGTATACTAAATAGTAAGGAAAGAAAAACTACCACTCCTCAATTTTGATTAAAACACCTTAATATTTCTGTTTGAAACACTAACAGCTGATGTTCCTCAGATAACCAATTTACATATTTAAAAATACTTTTGCAACCATTTCATTATGGTATAACACGTCCAATTACTGAGTTGGAACTTGGGTTCCTCTGATTTTCAGTCCCTGCTTTGTTTGCTATTTGTGCTCATTGCTAAGTTTCCTGTTTCATATTCGTGGTAATGTCTTTATATGAAATATGAAATTACCTTATAGCTGAGATAAATTTATTTAAATGTTTCTCTTACATGGGTCCAATGCACATCCAGAGGTGTCACAAAAAATTAACGTATCAAAACCAAAGTGCATTTTTGTATATATGTGTGTGTAGTGCACTATTTTTGAGTCACAATCTATATGTTTCCAGTGTTTTTCCACAATATGTGTTTTCCTCTGAAAAAGAGAATTTGAAAAGAACTGCCAAATCTGTCTTGGAACTTCCACTTTAAATTCAAAACAGATTCCCAAATGTCTACTGGGATATATCTCGAGTATGACTAAGAATGTGCACCTGCGATTACCTAAACCAGCCAAAGAATGGCACCATTGCTTCACATAAATGTAGTCACAGATATTTTTTATTTGGTTCTAGAATTTTATCATAAATCCCATGGCTCAGTGTAGAATTCTATCTTTCCTACAGGTCCACTTCTTGCCTTTAGATAATATTTTACAGCAAAACCCTGATATATTGCTTGTCACCCTTTGGCCACTAAAGGAACCTAGAACGGTACAATGGGTGAATAATAAGGAGACAAAGGGAACTCTGCCCTTCTAGCTTACCCCATGCAGATGGTCATCATTTTCCAACTTTACGACAGTAAGGGGAACGCATTTATCACTCCTCTGCTCCTTCTCACATTGATCCTCCATTGTTGAGTTTAGCAGTTGGCCACATATATTATAGAATCATTAAATAATGAGGAGGGTAAAAAGGGAGATGGCCACTCAAGTTTCACAAGGAAATAATGAATGTTGGAGAAAGAGTGGCAGGTTTGAAGGACAGGCTCAGAGAAGCATTAATCAGATAATTATCTTACAATTTCCAAGAGTTAACCAGAAAATTGAAGATAGCCTGATGGGCCCCGGGCTCACCTGTCCTGCCATGCTCCTTTCCAGACAGGATAGGCCCATGTCAGCCCTGGAGTAACTGCAGTAAAAATCGTGTCTTATTTTCTTCTTTATAGTTACAGACCACACCTAATAGTCCTTTCCCTGATTTATCTAGAATTACTCATACAATTTGGATGGTTTTATAAGACTGACTTTTCAGACAACTAATTAAAAACACAGTGATTTTACTTGTATCCAGTATTGCTCAGTTTTGAAAATCAGGCAAAGAAAACAAGAAACAACCCAATTTTTTAGAAAAGGCAAAAATACTGAACAGTTTACAAAAGAAGACAATTGTAGGGTTGATAAACACATGAAAAAGTGCTCAATGTCTTGACTCATTAGAAAAATGCAAAATCAAATGAGACACCACTGTCTACTCACCAGAAAATCCAAAATTTAAAGGACAGAAAATACCAAATATTGGTAAGCTTGTGGAGCCACCAGAATATTCCTGTATTTGCTGGTGAGAATGTCATATGGTGTATCTGCTTTGGGGAACAATCTGGCAGTTCGTATATAAAACCACACAAATGCCCACCCCCTAATCCAGCAGTTCTACTCTCAGGTATTTACCTAAGAAAAATGAAGACACGTGTACACCAGAAAAAGAAACCCTGCACCAGAATACTTGCTAAAAGCCTAAACCGAAAAACTAGCTCAAGTTTTCATCAACAGAAGAGTGGATAACAAACGGGGGTATGTTTACACACTGGGATATCACTCAGAAATAGAGGAATAAATCACTACCCGAAAGTGGGTAAATCTCACAAACATACTAAGAAGTCTTACACAAATGAGTAATTACCGTGTGATTTGTTTGAATGATCATGGCGACTAAAATGGGTAAACCTAATCTATGATGTAAAAACTGGGACAGTGATTGTCTCTGTGGGCAGAGGGCTGGGAGGTGAGGATTATCTTGGATTTGGCATAGTAACATTCTGTACCCTGAAAGGTGTTTTAGTTACATGGATGTATATACACATTAAAAATCATCAAATGATACACAAGGTTTCTGCATTTCACTTTACATACAATTTACATTAACAAAAAAAAGTCAGCGAGTACTGAACTCTTGTTGATGATATGCATACTAAGTGTTTTGAAGTAAAGGGCACTGGTATCTGCAGTTAACTTTAAAATGTATCAGAAAAACAAGATAAACTGGTAGACAGACAAATTAATGGATAGAGAGGTGAAAAGTGAAGCCAACAAAATTTTAGAATCCAAGTGCTGAAGATAGGGGTACTCACTGTGTAAAACTTTCAAACTTGATGTTTGGAAACTGCCGTAAAAAAGTATCAGAAAAAAACTCGGGCTGATGATTTCTCCTTTCTTCCTTGGCATGGTTCTTGAAAACTAAAAGTTGAAATGAAAAAAGCAAAAGGAACATGTAATGTAGCTGTCTAATTTAAATAAGGCTCTGATGTTCTGCTTGCTATTCTGTTAAACTCGCCTCTCCATGATTATTTAACAAGGAAGTGATTTCCTTACCCGGAGGGACTCTGTTCTCACAATACAGAGCAAGCATGGAAGCCAATGAAGAGAGCGTGCTGGCCAGGGAAGGCATGATGAGCCTGGCATGGGAGATGCCTGCTCTCAGACCTGCACCCCACCAGTGAGCAAACAGAAGTTCTTCCCTTATATGTAGGAGCAAGGGACACAGTGATTAAAAGGCTTTGAAGTCAGGGGCATCTAAGTTTGAATTTGGGCTCTCCCCCGAGAGTAGCTTTCTTTCCCTATTAACATTTTTGAGCCTTTCTGAGTTTTGGTTTCATCATTTACCAAATGGGCAAATTATTAGCATGTACCTGAGGAATAATGAGGACTAAAAAAGTACTGTGGGTATTAACAATTAGTATCACAGACGCACTCACTCATATACACACACACAACTGGAGAAGAGAGTACAGAAAAGAAGAAATTAAGTTTGATGGAATTTAAAGAAAAGTAAAGTTTTTTGAGCAAGGGGTGTAATGATAAAATGAGAAGCTAGAAAGAAAGTACTAAACTACACAACTCCTGGTTTTTCCTTTATTGCTTTTTTTTTTTTCTGTTCACTACATGGGTTGCAGAAGTGTTTTTTTTTTCTTTCCTTTTGAAAATTAAAGCGGTGACAGCAATGATTATTCCTAAGCACAGATCTGAATAAAAAGCCACACTATGGAATATTTTACTTTCTCTGCAAAGCTCTCACAACCTTCTCATAAATAAATGGGGCTAGACTCAAGGAAACTGGGCTAAATCCCTCCCTTACTGTTTGGACTGTTCCCAAATCATTCATCATGGACACAGGACGATGCGAGCTCCTCTTTGGCATATATCTTAGGGGGGGGGTCTGGCAGGGTTAAGGAAAAGAGACAAAGAAGCCTATGCTCAAATATCTGGGGTATTTTTGCCAATCTAATGCTTTAAAAAAAAATACACAGGATACTTTTGTCAATAAATCCTTTATGTGCTTACGTTGAAGGTGCTGAAAATTGCTTGGTTAGTTCAAAATTGTATCTGGATCTTTTTTGCAGAACAGTGTTCTGACAAGTGACGATGAGAATTTGTATCTCTAGATCCTACAGTCTGTGACCTCTGAGAATTGCCAATGGCTTTTTTATTGGATTAGAATTGACTGACTCTTCCAATTTGGGTGGTATCTACTTCAATTCTACCATTATTTCTGGGCAAGGATGATGATCCTGTGCAGGGGTACTGGGCCAGTTCAAGGGCAAAAATATCCTGGTCCCAGGGAACATGTGCATGTTGTATGACAGTCACAAAATCCATGATAGATTGCTCTGTGCAGTTGCTCTTAAGTAGGCCAAGGATTCCATGTCTTTGAGATGAAACTATGTCATAGGATCCTCAATGAGAGGAAAACGTAAAGGAAAAAATAAAGAATAAAGCTGAAGCAAGACAGAACATCTGTTATGGTATGAATGGCTCTTACAATTCCCTTCTGTTGACTCAAAAAAAGTCTTATTGTTAACTGTTTCATTTGGGAGGTATAAAATTATTTATGAGGTTTAGAGTAGAAAACCACCACATTTTATCTTTTTTTCTGGCTCCTATGGTTAAAAAAAAATTGCCAAACTGTGGTTGTGGCAAGGAGACTTAAGTGAGAAGTGCATTTTATAATTTCTTTAATTAAACATGATCAAAGGTGCCCTTAGAGCATTTGAAGGAGCATTTTCCTAGTTATGTGGCACTGTCTATATTCTTTTAACATAGCCATTGGCTCAGGGTCCCTGTTGTTGGTTCAAGGGTTCCTTCTGCTGTGAACGACCAAATTTTTCCATTCTTTGAAACCTAATGTTTTACTATACACAGATGAAACACACCTGTTTCTGATATACAACTGCTTTCAGTTCTTGTTAACTGTGAGAATTCATGAAATGGAAAAAAAAATGTGTTCCCTATTCTGGTGTAAAATATAATTTGGAGCTTCACATTGTTGACTAAAAACATAGTGAGTACCTACTATGTGCAAGGAAGGCACAATGGGATTCAACAGATCTGAAAATGTTGATTGAGCACCCACTCTGGGTCAGGCTTTCTTGTACAATCTAAAAGATGGGCTATGACTACAGAGGAAACAAACACCAATATCAGGCAGGGAAGGAATGGGGCTAAAGAGTGCTGGGGGTAGGTTTAATTTTAAATAGGATGGCCAGGGAACTTAGTATTGGGGAAAGTAAGAGTATAATGGGGAAATCTGAAGACTGAGAAAAAACAATGAGAGTGCAAGCAATGTAGGTCTTTGGGAAAGACCTATCCCAGCAGAGGGAGCAATAAAGCCCTTGAAGTACAGGAACACTGAACACTCCTGAAGTAAAGAAAAACGCCCAGTGATGCTATAACTGAATGCCTGGGTTGGGAAATAGCACAGTAAGAGTTCATCGATGTAACAGGGAGCCAATTATACAGGGCTTGTAAGCCATTATAAGGACTTTGGTTTTTACCATGAGTGAAATGGGAGCTTTTGGAGGGGTGAATAACAGAAGACATTATCTAAGTTTTAATAATACCTGAATCAGTATGGTTGCTCTCTCTCTCTCTCTCTGTCTACATATATATACACATATACATATATATGTACTCTGTATATATATGTACACACACACACACACACACACCATGGGATGTGAGTGCAGAAATAGAGAAACCAGTTAGCAAGCCATTGAGTACCCAACATAAGAGATACTTTTGACTTGGATTGGGGTCATAGATATGAAATGATGAGAAGTGTTCAGATTCTGAATATATTTTGAAGACAGAACCAGTGAGATCTGTTGAAAGACTGTATTGAATGAATTAAGAGAAAGAGATCAATCAATGATGCTTCTAAAATGTTGGTTGCCATTGACTAGAGAGGGGAAGCTAGGAGGGAAAGCAGATTTTGTGGGGGGAAATTGGGATTTCATTTTTGGACACATTTCATTAAGAGGCCAAGTGAAGGGTCAAGTGAAGATGATTCAGCATGCGGGTGGGGATAACCATCTGATGGTGAGGTAGAGAGCCAGGCCTGACATGGATATTTGGGAGTCGTCAGCATTTAAATGATATTTGAGATCATCTTGGGAGGGAGTAGATATCGATCAAGTTCAAAATACATAGTTAAGAGTCCAGATGATGAGCCCAAACCAAGAGAGGGAGAGAGGGAGAGACAGACACCAAGAGGAAATGGCCAATGAGGGAGGAAGAAAACTGAGAAAGCATGATGCCCTAGAAGCCAAGTGAAAAAATAAAATGAATAAAATGAGGATTATACTTCTTGATGTATAGAAATAATTCGTTACCCTATTGTAGAGATTTGGTAATATAAAAGTATTCCAAGTTTAGTACGTAAGTGGTAAGTGCTACAGAGGTCTGTTTCCAGCTGCTACAGTCACACACGGAAGACTTCCTGACACTCAGCATATGAGAGGGCCCCATGAAGTAGGCAGCATCTCAACCCAGCGTTGACAGGCGTGTAGAAACTAGTAGAAGGGGTAGGAGAGAGGACAGTTATGTGAGAGGGAACATCTTACAAAGAAGCTCAGAGAAGGAAAAGAACAAAGTATATCTGAGGAACAGGCTGGCCTGAGTACAGGATGTATCGCCCACTTTCTACACACCTGTAAGGCAGGTTTTCAGGGGCCGAAAGAGATGTTCACATTTTGCTGTGTGGTTTTTGGTTTTCTTTTTCTTTTTTTTTTAACAACTCCAAAATCAATGGGTATAAGAAACAATGAAGTTTACTTTCTTTTCAGTCCTTCCCCCCAGTCTAACTCTCACCTACCAAATCTTGTATTTTCACCCACAAATACCATAACAGCCATGCACAACATCTCTATCAATTTAGAGTTTGGAGATTTTGTTCTATGTAAGCTCCGGTGGGAGGAAAACAGGGCTAACATAAATATGCACAAATATTCATTGTAATATGAGTCTGTACTGTGTTTCATTTCTGAAATTGGGAGAAAGGAGGTAGGGAGAGAAATAGGAATAAGGTAAGTCTCACTCTTTGAACAGTTGCACAAATTTATGAGAAGAGTCTGCCTTAATAGCTGGGAAGTAGAAAATTCATTCTATAGATTTGGAGTTAGGCCCAGCATATCTGACCTTTGCTCCAGTTCCCTGGAGACAGAGAAAGTTATGTTGCCTGCAACCATATACAAAATTCCTTAAAAATAACAGTCATCATCTCCGGGGTCTGATCAACCCATGGCATTGGGATCACATGAGATTTTCTTTTCAGTAACAGACAGGAAATATCTTAATAGATTCCATTCCTCAAAAAAATAAACATGGTAAATTTTTTTTTGCAGATTTTTTAAATGTGATTTTAATCTTAGGGCCAATTTCACAAGTTCCCCCCCACCCCCCATCTTTGTATTCCCAATGGCATACTGGGACGAAGTGAGTCAGAGGACCTATTATCCAATTCCAACTCAGACACCAATTTAAGTCCCTTAGCCTCTTTGCACCTCATGGGTCTCATTTGCAAATTAAGAGAGAGGACACTGATGTAAAGTAAAGTAGGAAAGACTCAATACTTCGTAGTCAGTCAATAGACTTAGTAGCTGTGTGGCGCTAGGCAAGCTACTGAATGTCTGGATTTCAGCTGTCACACTGCAAATTAGAGAGAATCACAGCTCTCACATAGGGCTGTGAGGAGGACTGAAAGAAATCATGCACAGAAAATTTCTGGCACATAGTAGACCCTCAATAAACAGTCATTTCCTTCCTTCTTTTAACAACTTGCACATTTCGGTTTCAATATAACATCAAGCCTTAATCCGAGGGGGGGAAAAAAAAACCTGTGAGAGAAATTCTAGAGTTTCTCACTATTAGTTGTTTTGATTTTTTTTTTAATTGGCATCCAGTTTGTTACAGAGAGTAAGAAAGCCTCTATCTTTAGGGTAAAAATAAAGAATTCGTGTGTACCACATGAACAGCAGAAAAGCGGTATTCCCCTGGGGAGAAATTTTTAGATTATTTGGGGACAAAAGAGGAAGGAAGGAAGGGAGGGAGGAAGTTAGTTGATAAATAGTCTTACAGCCTATAAATTAAAAATGAACTAAGTAGGAGAAAGAAAGGTATTTGCTCTGTTGCCCTTCCCATTAGGACGGGTTAGGTATTACGGCTGGCATGACACAGTTGTCTTTCTTTTTCCTCACATGGAAAAAAAATTTTTTATGAAAGTGAGTTTACAGCAGGAATGTCAGCTCAGTGTATGATTCAATGCTCTATGTAAGAGGAAGTGTATACTTTACTACTTTGACCTTTCTGTATTTTTCATATTTTGCCTGGCTATGTATTGCAACCATTCCTTTCAGTTAGCAAATAAAGTCTAATTTGCAGCTGCCTTTATAAAACTAAAGCTTCCCTCCTACAAATGAAAATGTTGAAGTCCTTCCATTTGATCTCTAGTATCATACAATTCAGTGTTTGAGACACAGAAAATGTCCCAAGCATGAAAAACACACAGTAAATAGTCACCATCCCTTAGCGCCATCCATTACTCAATGTTTCAGTTTGTCCTATAGTGTGAAATGTAAATGAAGAGAAAGAGGAAGGGAGACAGAGCAGTAATTCATGCCTGTCCAGAAAGTTTGGCGCTGTTGCTCCAAGTAGAGGAAGCCATTTACAGGAGAAAAACGTAACCAGAGCTGATGGAAGTATGGAAGATGAGATCATCCACCAGCAGCAATCTTTCAAGTTCATGGACACTTTCGGATTCATGAGGTGAGAATGAGCAGCACGGAGGACTGTGAAATTCATTTGTAGGGTTTGAATTTGTTAACACGCATTCTCAAGCTGTCTTTGTTATGAGATAGTGCTCAAATTGTAAGTGAAAAAAAAATCAGTATGGAAAATATCCCTGTTAATTGAAATCATAATAGTGTGAAACGTAAGACAAAGGCTGTATGTAACTCTAAAGTGTTGTTTAAAAGAGGAAAAAAATACGTCAATTTAGAACTTTGGAATCATCCTTTTGGGGGGAAATATTTATCTGATCTTTTAAATGGTTAATTTAAATTAATTAATCCAAATTTATTCAAATATATTTGTCTTCTATTAAGGATGATCAAAATTTGTCTTGAAATTTTTAAAACTGAACTTTTGCTTCAAGGCAGAATTAAACATCAGTGATTTAAGATTTAAAAAAGTAATTTATGGAATGAAGCAATAATCCATACTTCTCTTACATTTCTCCCACAATACCTCACATAGATATTATTTCAATTTTAAAATCAGAAGGGAATGCACCTGAGATTCTGCATTTCTCCTAAGCTCCCAGGCCATGCTGATGTCACTGGTCCACGGACCACACGTGGAGTAACAAAGCCCCAGATCATGACAAAGGAGGAAAGTTTACCCTAGAAATTGCATCTAGAGAAGTCTGAATATCAAATGATCTTTCTCACCAACCCCTGTTCCCACTGTGTTATTTTCAAAGGAATCTACTCTACAAAACATCAATAAAAGTAACTAACATATTCAGATAATCACAATGTGATATTTTACTAGGGTAAATACATGAATTATTTAATTCAATTCCTGAAACAGCCTGTGAAGTAAATGCTTTTATTAGCTTCACTTTTTGGAAAAATAAGTAGGCTTGGGGAATTTAATTAATCAAGTCAAAGCCATATATGCATGATTTAGAGACAGTTCTGAATTTGGCAAATCTGACTCCAGAACCTAAATATTTTAGTCAGTTTTGCTACTATTATCCATATTGCTCTATTGCATTCTTAGTTATCTTGCAAACAAAGCACTAGACACAAAATACACAGTAGGGATACAATTATGTATGAACTTTAGGGCATACCATCTTCATTGACAGCTTCCAGAACAGGAGTCACTCAGGAATAACTGCCCTTGACATTAGTATCTAAAATGCTTGGTGAATAGCAGCCTTGATGCACTAAATCATCACTTTCAAGAGCCAGAATGAATACAAGATGAAGATAAAATACTCACTGGATTCAGCTCCTTTAGACTCAGGAAAGGCCAGATAGATTTTAGATAAGGACGTATTGGAGGCTACATAGCCCTGAACACATGGGATAGCCCCTAAAGTTCCACACCTGAAAAAATAGCCCTTAAAGTTTAGGATCCCTGAAAGATTTTTACTACATGAAGGGTACACTGTGAAATATTTTCTGCATTCTGTTACTTTTAAAGAGTATAATCCCTCCTAAGGTGTACTGGCCCAGGGTCTTTGAACTAGTCTAGACCAGAATTAACTAGGAGCCATCATTTGCATCCTGTGTTATAATTATGTTTGCTTATTTCACACTGTTTAACACACTCCCTGCTGTTAAACTACATCACAAGCCCTTCAGCACCTGTTGCTTATTTCTGCCAGACCGAAAATATTCCTTTCTCCTTATTATTCGTGTGCAAAGATAAGATGAACTTGCCAAGTGCTGTCATTCTTGAATGTACCTGGCAAGTGTCAGACACTTTAATAACTGAAATGCTTATAGCATATGCCGTGGTTGCTGCCGCTACCAACTTCCAGTGCCCAGTATTTCACAAGAGATTGAATATATGCAGGATGACAGATTCATTCCCTGATATATGCATATGTGACCATGTGCCCATGGGTTACACCATGCTTATATAACACACCCCCAGGTTAGCTCTGGCTGAGAATGTATCTTACAGTAATTTACTACCTTACCTCTTCAGCTTTTAAAACCAAGAATAAATCTCTTGGACTGTATTTACTGATTTGTTGGCAGTCGCTTTCATGTCATCAGGCCGTGTCCTAAAAATAAAATAAAATACAATTGGGTTTATGGCTACAACGTTGCAGCACCTACTACCTTTTCTTCGCTTTCCTTTTCTAAGGATGCCTGATAACTTTCCCCCTCTTCTGTGAGGTCTTTAATCCACCCAGATGAAAGTGAGTACTGCCAAGTTACAGTATCCAGAGTTGAACTAAGCTTAAAGAGCCGGGGTGAAGCTACCAGTTACTGGGGCTGGGTCAATGGACACTAGTCCATTCTCACGTATGGGACAGCAACCAGCGTCCTACATAAAGGCTTTCCCTTAGATCGAACTGGGGAACGGGGCCTGGAACAGAGGTGTCCATCCTTGATTCTTACTGAGGAACGCATCAGGGCAAAGACAGAAAGGAATGTGTCCCTTTCCCATGAGTTACTCATCTCTATCCTGCCTGTCTTGTCGGATCTTATCAGAGGTGTGGAATAGAAGGGAAAAGGGGAAGGGATGGTTCTTCAGAATGCTGACATGGGACTAATAATGCCAAGAAAGATGGAGTGATGGAGATACCTTTCTGCTTTCATTGCTTTCAGTGTGCTTGGCCCTCCCTGACCATGTGTATATACAGTCAGCAGAACATTAACCCCTTTTCCTTGACAGATAGCAAAAATCAACCTACAACTTTCCTGCAACCCACAGTAAAACTGACCTCTGCAGGAGGCAGCAGTCTTATTTTATGAGCACCATGCTTCATGCAACCTTAAGAGAGGACGATTTAGGACAATTAATTTTCCCTTGTGAAACAGTAGAGCAAAATATTCCTAGATAATCTCTCTCTCTTCCCCCCTTCTTTCTCTCCCTCCCTCACCGCCCCCGACTCCCCATCATGTTTATAAACACCACTCAGAGCCAAGGTTCTTGATAATTATAGAATGAATTACACATCTTAAGACCTCTGCTATTAGAATATATGTGAGTTTCTTTCATTAGCAGCAAGCTGTCATGAACCAGGTGGTCAGAAGGTTGTTGGCGCAGCACCAGAATGAAACCAAAGGACCTTTCTTAGAGGAAGAATTTCCAGTGATGTTATTCTAAGTCAGTCTACCAAGTTCTGCACTGACAATTCATTATACCTTCTGGAATGGGAGGTCTTGCTGTACAGGGCTATAGTCGAACTGGATTTTCTTTATCCCAAGTTAACTTACGATGCTTCGGGAACTAAACCTCCTTGGATGTGATATACAAGTCACAAGTAAGATTTTTTCCTCAGAGTTTCTTGGCACATCTAATTTCTAACTGACGCCAGTGATGACATAAAAACTGGACTGGGATATACTTGAAGAAAAAAAGTCTCTTCAGGTATACTCAGAATGAGCTCATTTTATCCAGCAAAGGAACAGAGCACCTGTAGGTAAGTTGTCTTTGTTCCTAAAAGTCTACCTCCTGCTGACAGTATTATTGGATCATCATCTAGGAAAACAACTGTAGATAAAGGTCAGAGCTGGTGGCTCTCAGCACACTCAGAAACTAACACATACAGGACAGAGTTAGAACTCTTTTAGAGCCTAGGCCACTGATCAAATTCCAAAGAGAATTCTGTGCACAGTTACTGCAAAAAATTAAAAAGGAGATTAGAGACCTATATCCAGCCAGAATAATTGGAAAGCTCTGACATATACCATTATATTGTTTGATGAACATTTCCAGAAGAAGATGTCTGTTTTGACCTTTGCAGTGTGAGTAACACATGTCGAAAAGGAGGACAGAAGGCTTATTTTTATATAGATAGCAGAAAGCTGCTCGCCTTGTTAAGCAAGTATGGCAGGCTGATTTTGTCTTTCATTTTCCTTTGTAATTTGAAAGTCCTCCCAGATAAACCTTTGCGGTATACAACTTGGTTTTGACATCCTGGCTTTATGCCTCTAAATGTTTATAAGTCATGCAAGGAAGTCATCTATCTTGACCAATACGGCTCAGACATATTTTCCATGTTAATTACACATGTTTGGACTGACACTGCAGTGATACAGTTTCATTTGTTTAAAACAACAGAATGGATGGCTCTTTAACTCAACAAATGTAGGTAAAAATTCTTCCCTGAGTAAATGCAACAAGTCTGGAAATTATAAAGGCACAGGCACTAGCGGCTGAAACCCCAGAGACTAAGAAGCGGATATTCTGCAAGGATCTCTAATTTGGATTAAGAGTATGTTGGAAAAGTACGACATAATTATCCAAAAAATTGTAATTATAATAATCTATATGTTAGACACTACAACAAGATTGGTGTCCTGAAAATAATTGCCAGTTTAAGAGGAAACAGAGGCATTTTTAACTTGGACCCAATGGAAATGTTCAGATTTTGGCTGTGTGTTTGAGCAGGACCTCAACAATTTTTTACACTCGCCAGAACACCAGCAGTTAACCCCGTAATGGCCAAGTGCTGGTTATTACCTTACATTTGGTCCACAGCTGCATGGTTCTGCTCGCTTTATTGTCATTTCAGCTCTCAACCCATTAGATGCCTGGTGACTGCTTGCATGCAGAGGGGCCTTTGGTTCACTAAACCCCCACCAGGATCACAGCTGTTGTAAAATATCCAGTGACAAAAATATCCATGTGCCATGCGTGGTAGATAAATCCGAAAGCCAATTCAAGCAAAACTTGAAAAACAAATGAGGGCACCAGTCAAATTCTCTGGCTTCTGAACATTACAAACTACATTTGCTTTACTTTTAGGAATCTGCTTTGTAAAATTCCAGCATTCCCCTCTCAGTGCAATGGGTGATTGGGGCTAAATTTCAAAGTGATAGGCTCAGTTCAGCAAAAATACACCTTTCCATCTTCCCTCACTCAGCAGTTAGAGAATGAATGTCGTGTTCAATAGTTCAGACAGATTCCTGATTTTTGGCACAATACTAACCTCAGCATTGGGTATTTATTCACAGCGCGTATTAACTTAAACATCAAACCCTTGTCCAGTTTCTCCCAGCCTAGAGGCTTACCACAGTGGTTATATATGCGCAAGTACATCTTACCACAACTGCTTGTAACAGCCAGAGCTGTCAGGGCCAGTTCACGGCACTGAGTCCCCTGTAGGTAATTATACTTGGGGTTCACATGGTCAACCTTATGTCCAGTTATGACATTGAGAGATTGTGCTCATTGTTCTTCCTCTTGCTATCTGTAAGCATTTAAAAACAAAAAGGAGACAAGGAAGTAAATGACCTATAACAACAACAATAACAAAAATAGGATGAAGAGTTCTGTTTTGCAGTTTATCACCAATGCCACTCCTTTGTCATTTTGTCAAGATCCAAAATTAAGTACCAGATGTGATCTGAAACTCTCTTAGATCTAACTAAATTTATACTCACAAAGGGGGAGTTGTTTCTGGTTCTGACTCATCTAAAATTTAGTTTGTACCTACCTGTGTTGATTGATTTGGATTCCTACTCCACACAGGTTCTGTTCTTTCCATTAGATTGTTGAGATGTTCCTTAGGAGTCAGTGACCTAGATTTGTCTTCTTCATTAACTCATTCAAACATGTCTTAAGTACCTACTAGGTGCCAGGCACTGGGATAGAATATTAATAAGCCACGGTCCCTGCATGCAAGGGATCTAGGGTTCAGAGACACATAGTCTCTCAAATAGAAGATTCTTTTTCCCCCTCTTCCATTCATTCTCCATCCTGACCCATATCAGGTAAGCCCTCAAGAAGAAGGTAAATTAACTCTTGAAAGAAAAGCAAAATTTAGGAAATCAAAGAAAACGGAAAGACCTGGACTCTAATGAGGAAACACTTTCTGAAAAGAAGAGAGACAAAATATGCTGAATTTTAGGGAACAACAGATAACTCAATACAAAATGCTAGAGATGGAGAGAAAGAAGAGACTAGAAGAGAAGGTAGGGCTGATCAAGGAGGGCTTTACATGCCAGACTATAGTGTCTGGAATCTATTAGATGATGAAGGTACATTTTAAAATGTTATAAGACAGAACATCATGATGAGCTCATAAGGGCCTATGCTGAGCACTACTTGCCGTAAGCAGGGAAAATAAACATACTGAATATATTTAGGAAATAAAATGGATAGGGTTTCTTGTGGGAAAGGTAGAGGAAAAGCTGGTGTCAAATATGACGCCCAAGTTTTGTCTTGAGTTCGCCGATAGATTTTACTACTTGAAATAAGACACAGAAAAGGTAATGGGACCAAGAGCGTAGGAGAAGGCTTAAGACGTGAACTGGAGGTAGGGAATTTTAAATCTGAAACTACAGAAGAGATAAAAAGTAAAAATATAAATGAGCTTGTCTAATCATCAATTTCCTCTGAAACTAGAGTTTTAGAGTCTGTCAGACAACATCTATCTAAAAAAGGTTTTTTCAAGATTATGCTTAAGAAGATTGAATCTGAAAGTCAACCCTTCCAACTGGGAAAGAATGGTAACTAAGAACAACACTATTTCCTGAACACTCTAACTACAAAACTTAGTAGTTTTAGAGAACATTACAATTGCACTGTTATCTGAACCTAGAATTTATGTAACATATAGGCTTTGCATTTCACTTACATGAAAATACTGTGCTATAAACCTTTTAAAGCCAATGTTGGAAACTATACATTTCATTAGATATTATTCAATCTTTAATAAAAAATAAAATGTATAGACCAGCCATTTACGAGAAAGGTAATAATACGTGTGTGTGTGTGTGTGTGTGTGTGTGTGTGAGTGAGAGAGACAGAGAAAGAGGTAATATGAGAAAATATCCACATTTAATAAAAATGCAAGTTAAAATAACAATTTGATGTCATTGTTGATCTGATTGGCAAAGTTGAAGAAATGGTAAGAAAACAAGAAATAAGTACTTTGAAATAGTGTTAAAAGATATAAAAAGATAATTTCTTACATAGTTTGAAACTATAGATGAAAACCTTTAAATTTTGCACATCCTTTTTTATCAAGTATGTTATTCATAAATTATGGGTGTACTGAAAATTAAGCTGCAAATATACGCATCCCGGTTGTGTATATGCTACAAATGAAGTGCTAGTCCTTTTTATCACTGTGGGGTTTTTTATTTTAAAGGGACCATCATCCAATATTCAAAAAACACTTAAAAATGAAAATGTTAATATTTCTCAGAAGTACTTTTGAATGGGTCATTTTAGTCATTCTACACAGTACAAAATTCTACACCCCCCAAAGTCCTCTTCTACCATTTCTCTCTCTAAAATCCTCCTCATTACAGTTTGGTGGCTGCTCCCAGTGTCTCTGATTCTCTACTAAAACTCTCCAAAACTTTTTTCTACAATTGAGCTCTGACCATTTCTTCTCACTCACCTCTTTTCTCCATCTTTTCAGCTCAGGTTTTTTTTTTCTTTTCTTGCATGTGTCTTCGTCACATGAATTAATACAGCGTCTCAGACTTACACAGAGCTCTAATTCATCCATTTCCTGGATCAACACAGCAAAACCCCATGCCTGAAACTGCTTAGACAATAAAGTATCCTCCTTCTTTAGAAGGTAGACGACAAGGCTTTAGAAGAGCGACAGCTGAAAATATGTAGATGTTAATTTTTGGAATTTCCTGTCATGGAGAATTTATCATATTTATCATGTTTATCACTGAGATAATTTGAAAATCTATTCAGCAATAGTAAATTGGTTTAATTATGCTAAAATAATGCAATAGAATTTGAAGACATAGTTTTCAAAATGTGTGTATGTACATATGAAATATATTTAACACAGTAATATTCATATATTAAATTTGAAATCCAAGAAATAAATTAGTATGTATAGTTAATCATTTCACCTTTTATTTCTGGCTACGTTCATATACTTATATCAAAATATTCTCAGTAGGATTAGAAATTACGCTTTCTTTTTCTTATGTCCTATATTTTCTAAATATTTTATCATGAGCATTTATGATAAGATTAAATTATTTGTGAAGGTGAAAATCTTTACTGCTCTAATAAAAATAATGTTAAACTCAGAGAAAGGAAAAGGCCTCTAATGTCATCCAAACTGAATTTTTTCTTTTACAGTCATGTATGCTGGTACTTCTAAAAGACAGATGGATGCGAGTTATTTTTAGCCACAAATTTAAAAAGATACAACAGTTTCCAACTATATTACTTTGCTAGGGCTGCCATAACATGCAGACAGGTTGCTTAAATAGCATTAATTAACTTTCTTACAGTTCTGAAGGCTGGAAGTCCGAGATCAAGGTGCTGGCAGAGTTCATGTCTCCCGAGGCCTCTCTGCGTGGCTTGCTCGTGGCCACCTTCTTGCTATGTTCTCACGTGGCCTTTCCTCTGTGCATGTGCATCCCTGTAATCTCTTCCTCTTCGCATAAAGAAATCCTCCTATTGGATTAGGACCCCGCCATTTTGACCTTACTTAACCTAATTACCTCTTTAAAGGCCCAGTCTCCAAATACAGTCACACTGGGGCTTAGGACTCCAACATATGAATTTTGAGGAGACATAATTCAGTCCATAATACCAACTAAAATATACTCTATTAGTTAAAATAAAATTTAAAAGTTCCATAAGGTGGATAGCAAAATAATAAAAGATAAAGCTTATATAGTAGCGCTACTGTGTATCTTATTATATTCAAATTCTTTGAAAATGTGTTATCTACAGAATAACCATTAACTAAGAAGTATAATTAATTGAATATTCCTTTTTTCCGTAATGCCGAAAATGGAAAGAGGCTGAATGTATTTCCTCCATTTGTAATCTGGCTGTGCCATTACAAGGTGTCACATACACAACTGTGCTAACAGATACAGTCATCCAGAATGCAAAGCTGGAAAGGAAATGGTTTACCCCAGGGCATGCCTGAAAGAGATCAGGAGGCTTACTCATTAGTTGTTCTTTGTTTTCTACTTTGGATTACATCAAACTGACCAAAACTCTTATTTATTACTAGTCCACTAAAACAAAAGCAGAGTTTAGACAGAGAACATTAATCAATTCATATTTCAATAAGCACAAAGATTACATAGGCTAATAAATCATGCAACCAGCTGTGTCTTTTTTAAAAAGCATTGGTAAATAATCACTTCAACTGAAATTAATTGCATCTTTTTTACCCCCAGTCCCTCACACACACAGCAGTGTTGAAAGTATCTGCAGACAAAGAATAAGCTGAGATTCAGTCATAAATAAGATAAACAATTCAGCATACAAACCAGGTAGTACGTGGTCAGATCACTGCGTTCTTACGTATAGAGCCAAAGCAAAACAGAGTGCTAAGAAATTAGGTCACAAATTTTTTCAAGGGACGTAGAGAGTTTTTTAACGTGTAAAAATTCATCCATATATGAAGACTTCTTTTTGTGGTATCTCCATCGGTAATGATTTTATTTACCCAATTTTCTTTACCTTTCATCAAATAATTTAGTCAAATTATTCCTGATTGTAACACTTTTTTTGAAATGTGGATTTCTAGGATTAGCTATGGGAAATAAATCATCTCATGCCCCGAGGCCCATACTTTATCCACTACATGCATCAACATAGCAAAAATCCACACCCAGAACCTTACTAAAAATTGAAGTCTTTTTCCTCTTTAGAAAAGAGCACATGAGAGATGACTGGGAATACTTTTATGTTAAGTATTCCAAACTGTTCTGACAGTGTTAACTGCAGTCACCATGTTTTACATTAGATCTTCAGACTTAGTCATCTTATCACTGCAAATTTATACTCTTTTATCAGCCTCTCCCTATTTCCCCCATCCTCCAGCCCTTAGCTAACCCTTTACTCCTCTGTTTGCATGAGTTTAACTTTTTTTTTTTTTTAAAGATTTTCCCCCATCCTCCAGCCCTTGGCTAACCCTTTACTCCTCTGTTTGCATGAGTTCAACTTTTTTTTTTTTTTAAAGATTCCATATACATGTCATGCAGTATTTGCCTCTCTCTGGCTGTTTCACCTAGCCTAATACCATAAGGTCCATCCATGCTGTCACAAATAGGAGGGTTTCCTTCCTTCTCGTGGCTGAATAATATTCCATTTTATATATACATTCATATATATACTTAAGATACATAGCATGTCTTCCTTATTAATGCATCCATTGTCTGTCTGACACTTAGATCGTTTCTTTATCTTGGCTATTGCAAATCATGCTGTAATAAACATGGGGGTGCATCTCTCTTTGATATCCTGTTCTAATTTTCTTTGGATATGTGCAGTCAGGATCTAACATAAAATACATAACTATATTTGATAACACTGCATTGTGTAACAGATTTGCTAAGAGTAGAACTTCAGTGTTTTCACCATAGAAAAACAAACAAGAAATATAAATTTGTGAGGGAATGAATGTGCTAACTAGTGGGGGGGAATCTTTTCACAGTGTCTAGGTATATCATCACGATGTACAAAGTATCTCATGATTTTATGTCAACTGTACTTCAATAAAGCTGAAATAAAAAACGAATATAAAACTGTACCTTGGCAGCTGATTCTTCTTCTTCTTCTAGGGACTTAATGAAGTCTAATTCTGTCACATCTCACACTTCTGTTTACTTTGGTCAACACTAAATCTGAGGCTCCCAAGCCATCAATTAACATGAGGACTGCTGACAGGCAACATAACCTGTCTAGAATCAGGCTGCAACTTACTGTGACCTTGGGCAAATCACTTAAGTTTCCAGCATTTTAGGTTCCTCATCTGTAAAATGGGGAAATAATAATACCTACCTCACGTTAGGAGGAGTAAATGATAATATTGGTTAAGCATTTAAACAGTGGCTAGCACATAGCAGTTTCAAACAAAGAAATACAGTGTATCTCTTCATCTGACCAAATGCTGCTCTTTTCCGAATCTTTCTCCCAGGCCTTGGAAACCCCAGCACAGGTTGGGCCAGCTTCATGGGCTTGCTACCTGTGCAGTTATGCAGGACACCACACTTAGACGGGCCCACGTTTGATGTAGTGCTCTTCTTTCCATCTTGAAATCCTCAGTGATTCTTGAACATGTTGTCCTGCATTTCCGTTTTACGCTTGGCCCTGAAAATTATGTAGCCAGTCCTAACAGTATGTTATTCTGAGATTCCCCTATCACTTCAAACTCTTCTCTGTTGTATTTAACTTCTTAACTTAAGCCTTGGTATAGCATTTTCCTTGTCTGATGCAGTGGATTTTTTTTTTTTCCCACTATAGCGCACCATCTACCACAGGAAGGTCTAGAATCAGGCTGCAGCTTACTGTGACCTTGGGCAAATCACTTAAGTTTCCAGCATCACCTTACTCCAGAAGGTTAAGGAGATGGGTGTGTATCACTCCCTCCCATTTGAAGCTTGCACCATCAGATTAAACCACCCACCATGTCTCCTCCTTAGTCTCATATTTTGACCCAATCACTCCCTTAAATCTCCTCTTGGCTCATTCTCTTCTTCTCCATCCCAAGTCATGCCATCGTTCTTGACAACTCCAGAATTCATACGGATGAACCATTTAGCCTGCCCCTCATATCCTTCCCTTCCTCTCCTCCAATCACCTGTTCCTCCACTCTCTCCCAACCAGTGATACTGACTGCGTCCGCAGAAACTCACCAAACCTGAAATCTTAAAATTAGCCCCTCCTTTCTCTGGCGTGGCACCTGCTGTTCTTTCCACCTACATTCTCAGCTACTCATTTTGCAAGGATTCTTCAACTTCAGTCAGACATCTAAACCACTGACTTCACTTCTCTCTCTCTTTCAACCTACTTCTGTTTCCTGTTCCCCCTTTAACCTGGCTTTTAGTCCATGTTTCCTAACAGAAATAATTCCATTTTTATTATTTTACCTTGCATCCTTTTTTTCTCTAGCATCTTCCCTGGAAAAACTCGAACATTGGCTGAAACCGTTTTAAAACTTTTTTCATGCCAACATCTGAGAAGCTAAATGTAACTGTAGATAAACAACTAGGAGGCTAAAACCACTTTAAATTTCTGCTAAATTTTTCACACAGGGATTTAACACTTCCTGGTAAACCCACTGTCCTCATGCAGTAGTTCCAGTAGTAGCTTCACTTCCCCAAAAACATAAATAATCTTTTTTACACTCTCTCTAGTCTCTTCATACTACTGCTCGTTTCTCTGCTCTCCTTCATCTCAAAGGTGCTAGAATGATTGTTGTAATACTGATCGTATTTCCTACCATTCACTCCTCAATATATGATTTTGTAGGGGTTTCTTCCCAACAAACTCAAGAGTCTTTTCTTCTTAAGGTCACTTATGGCCATAATCTCGCCAAATCTGCTGTTCTGTCCTCTTCTTATTTGACACTCACCAACATTCTGTGATTGACATTCTCTCTGCTTAGTTTCCCAATGTTTGACAATTTTCTGTCTTGACCTTACCTACCCCACTGGCTATCCCTTCCAAGATTCTTTTTCCTCAGTATTTGCTTGATTCAATCCTTGTGTGATCTCTTTGGTTCCTCTTATCCAATCCTATGGTGTAAATATCATCTGCAGAGGGTGAACAACTCTCCCGGTTTGCCAAGAATTAAGAGGATTCTCAAGTCTTAGAACTTTCAGTGCTAAAATAGGGACAGTCCTGGGCAAGCCAGGATGGTTGTTCACACTATATCTATATGCTAATAAATCCCAAAATTATACCTCTAGCCCAGACCTTTCTGGTGGGCTTTATTTCCATTTTGGTTTGTAAGATACATTTCAAACTTAAATTTGCCCGAGACAGAACTCTTAATTTTTGCCTTCAGTTTTTTCCCTCACTCATTATCCCTTATCTCTACAGATGTCATAATATACCAGTTCTTACCAGTTCTCTCAAAAAAAAATGGAAAATAGAGAAAAGGAGGGGGAAAAGGAGGAGAGGAAAAGAAAAGAAAGGAAAGGAAACAAAACATCATCGATGGTTCCTCATGACCCTTCCTTTTCCATCCTCCAGTCCAGCCACCACCACCTGATCTAAGTCATCACCATCTCCTACCAGCATCACCCCAACAGTCTTCTAACTACTCCCTATTTAACCCTTGGTCCTTTCCAATCCATTCTGCTCAATGAAAGCTGGAATAACTCTAGTTTTAAACTAAAGAATTCTTTTTTAAAATATATAAAGACTCATTTCTTCTTAAAACATTTCAGTGGCTTCCTACCACTTTGAGAATAGCAAGGAAATACCTCTCCAGGGCTTGTAACAGTGCTTCTCTGCCAACCTGTGGAGGGGATGGGTTTCAGTTTATGCTTTTGTTTATTTATGTTTCACCTTGGACTGACATGTGGGCCTACTGCACATGAGAGGAAGCAATTTGCAAAATGGGTGCACAATGCAAGTTCAGAAACACCTGAACTGAGACCATTGATCCAGTACCGGAGTCTCAGCAATGTGAAGCTGCTATAAAG